CCGCTGGGCATCCGGGTATTAATAAAACTGTATCTGCCATTTCCAGGTCGTTTTGGTGGGAGTCACTCAGGAGGGATATTAAAGATTATGTACAAGCCTGCTCTGTCTGTACAGTTTCAAAGGTTCCTCATAAACTTCCGTGTGGATTGTTACAGCCAGTTCCTATACCCAGTATCCCATGGTCGCGTTTATCGATGGATTTCATTGTCTGCCTAGTTCCCATGGGTATACTACCATCTTCATGGCAGTTGACCGTTTTTCCAAAATGGCACACTTTACTCAACTTAAAAAAATGCCATTGTCTCAGGACCTGGTGCACATATTTATATGCTATATTGTCAGGCTACATGGTATTCCTCAAAATATTGTCTGACAGGGTTTACCAATTTGTGTCACGGTTCTGGAGGGCATTCAATAAACAGTTGGGCATTGAATTGTCATTTTCCTCTGCTTACCATACCCAAACTAATGGCACGGCTAGAAGAGCTAACCAATCACTTAAGCTGTATTTACGTTGCTTTGTGAATAGTATACAGTCTAACTGGCTATCCCTACTCTGGATGATCACCTTACCTCTATTTGTGATACCTGGACTAAGGTTTACTCTGCTCACTTTAAGTTTCATGCGGATAAACGGCGGAGTGCCAATCCAGTTTACCAGGTGGGTGATCGGACTTGGTTATCCTCACGCTACATCAGGTTGAAGGTTCCCAGCATGAAGTTTGCTCCGAGGTTCCTTGGTCCTTTTTGTTTGGTTAGGAGAATCAACCCTGTTTCTTATTCTCTGGCCCTTCCAGCGTCCTTACGTATACCTAATACTTTTCATGTGTCCTTGCTCAAACCACTTGTTTGCAATCGATACACAAGTCCGATTGTTCCCCCTCCTCCTTTGGTTGTTTCTGGACATGAGGAGTACAAAGTTTCCTCAATCATTAATTCCAGGTTTTCTCGTGGTTCGGCACAGTATTTGGTTGATTGGAGGGGATATGGGCCTGCTGACCGTTCTTGGGTTTCGGCTTCTGATGTCTGTAACGGTACCCTCAGCAATAAATGTACAAACCGCCGTTTAGTGAATGCTCCCCTTTCGCAATAGCATAGGCTGCATGCGTATCTAGTACAATCATGCGAACCGCAAGCAATGGAACACTGCAAACTGACGAATGGGATCCATACGGGCACTTCACTCCACGAGCTCCAAACTCTCGAATCGCCAAAAGTAGCCGAACGCATATATCTCCCAAGCGGCTAATAATTCCATCCAGCAGTCTCTAGTCATCGGTAATAAATCCCCCCCAATAACGAGACCAAGCTCCGCATTGAGGGTAAAACATGAACTGGCTTTAATGTGGGCTACCTGCCTGTATTTATGCAGGTCTCCCACTTGGTGGACACTCCCCTAGGGGACCAAATGGGAGACTGTAATAATAGACAGACATATGGCAGGTAAGGACCCACAGACAAAGAATATTCCCAGCATGCATTAGTATTTCCTCCCCTCTGCCCTGGAGATAATTGAGAAGTGATTTAATTATCTCCAGGACAGAGGCAAATCGCCATCTTAAATTCAACATAGCAAAACATATAAAAATACATAACTTTACAATTGTCAAATGTTACCCATTCGTCTCACATATCCCCAGATAGCCTGGATCTGAGTGCATATTATTGGCGAATAGCGCTCAGATCCCATACGCATAGTTCAATCGCCATGGAGTCAAAGTCTATTACAGTCTTTCGGTATGCGATTGACTCCATGGGAAGGCTATCTGGAGTAAGTCGATTCGTGCATTTAAACCACCGGTGTTCGCATACTTCTGTTAATTGAGAAGGGAGGTCGGCGGCTTCAGCGGTGTTCGGCTGAAAAAGTGTCCGTTTTCAGTTCCAGGAAATCAATGCCGAACACTGCTGGTCTTTCGCATGGTTTAAAATGGCCGCCACCTCGTGGTTGACATACGAACGACGACCACCCTGTATTCGGTTTTAATTGAGAAGTGTCTGTGGTTAACCGCAACATTCTAATTGGGATCAAGAGGTTAACCAGCAGCACACTTCTCTTCTGGGTGGCCGTCCGTTCAGTAGTTTTGTTCGGCGGAAAAGTCAATTCACTGAACAGGGGCATACGAACGGGTAATTTCACGAAAAGGCAAAACCGACGAATCCAGCAATCTCAGTCTATACAGATGGATCTGTCACAATGTCCATGCTGGCCATAAAATTTGTTATTTTCACGCTAAGCTTCTTCTTAAACCTGGTCTTCAGGTGGGGGGTAATGTAACGTATTCATCCACACATAAAAATGTGGTTAATGCCATTTACTGTCCTGACAGGAAAAGGCAATGTATGATCATATAATGTAACTAAACCCCCATTATTTTTGCCTAGATTAGGTATTTTAAAAAAAAACTAATAAAATCTGTCAACATTGAAGTTGCTGTTTAGTGGATAGGTGAGTGCGCTGGATCTTGTGTATTGCATAAATTGGCCCCCAGCAGCACCCCATTTGTGCATGATCAGGTGAGTGCAGTCCCCTGGTTTCATATATATATATTTGGACTGTTGCTCTTTCTACCCCCCATTCAGACATAAGGTCTTGTAAGAGTCTTATCTCTAGTCAATACTTTACGTTTACGTTAGCACATTCCTTTGATCAGGGTTTGAATGAATAGAGTTACAGAGAAATAAAATATGTCTGTCTTTGAATTTTTGTTACAAAATGGAGTCACATCTGCTAAGTGGTGACTTACAGTGTACCTTTTAATTTCTATCTTACTACAAAATGTCTGCCAGTGCACATACCCTGACAATTGTCAGGGCTGTATAAATCCTGGGCTGAGTGACCACTCTTCACTTAGAGCCCTCTAGCCTTTTCCTTTTGTATAATAATCAGGTTTATTTTTATTTTTTCAAAATTCTTTCTTTATAAGAATAACAGAAAATTACAACATAGAGAAAGTGTAGATTAATGGAATACTTATAGACAGACAGGAAGTTAGCAAAAATGTGCAGGTTATAAGGAATGAAACATTCATTTGTGAGAGTCTTGGATGTCCAAGCCACCAAAAAGTGATTATTAGCTAAGAGTTCATGATCTGTCCTTGATGGGCAGAGATAAATGTGTTAAAGACTGGTAGTGGTATTGCCAGAGATGTCCCAATAAGTTGGACAAACTAATGTTAGGTCCCATGTGCTTCACCTAGTAAAAGGGATGAAAGGAAAAGTGGAACCATAAAAAGAACAATTCAGGTACCTGCATTCCATGGATGTAATTATCTACTTGAAGTTCCATGCTGCGGATGCTCATAGAGGGATAGGAAGGGTTGTAAGGGGGAGCATGGAATGAGAGAAAGGAAGAAAAAGGCATTAGTGCCACATAGGCACTCTACCAATAGAATTTTAAGTGCCCGCAGTCTGAGTCCTCAAAACAGGAAAGGGAAGGAGGAAGGTGTGGGAGTACATGGGTGAAGGAGGTAAGGGAAGGGTCTTCATTGATCCTGTAGATCATTCATATAGTAATTTGTAGTAATAGAAATGCTGTAAATTGATGTGTTACTACAATGGAAGGGAGGTGTCTCCATCGAGCCAAGGGTTCCAAATGTTATAGAAGGATTTGAAAGTATCATAAGTTTGCGTTGTTAATTTATCCATTTCAATACTATCCTGGATTTTGTTGCCTGGAGATGCCCAAAGTTTTGCAATTGCCTAGGGTTTCTTTTTAATTTAATGGCAATCAAGGTCAGCTATTGTTTTAGTCAAGCATTTATGGCTGGAGACTGAAGAAGCAAAATTATCAAACAAGACTTTGACAGTTCAGAATTAAATCTTTTATTTTCACTTAAAACAGGGTTATGCAACTTTTGGCTCTCCAGATGTTGTGGACCATATGTCCCATAATGGCCTAACAGTCATAATGCTGACAAACCATAAAGGGAGATGCAGTCCACAACATCTGGAGTGCCGAAGGTTGCCTACTCCTGATATACCACTCAAAAATAGTTTGAGTGGGAGGGATCATGCATTTGTTTTCATATTTTATTTTGGATAGGGCATCCTCTGTGTCTAGGGTAGTTGTAGGCAACTTGGGGATCCTTATATTATAGAGTACAGATAATCTGATATCCAAAAATGGAATATACAGAAAAAAGAGTGAATAAGACAAACAGGAAGAACTCTGAAACTGGAAAAATATCATCATCCATCCCAGTCTGGGACTAAAGTTTTCTTGCCATTTGTACCCTCAATAGACTGGTTATTAGACTGTGCATTGATTTTTACCTTTATTTTTTATATTTTGATAATAAACTGTTTTTTATTTATTTATACTCCCAGTTGTTTCCCTCACTTTTATAGTGGTTTTAGCGATATACTTTTTTGCATATTGCTTTATAGCAACCAGTTCCACACTGGTTTGCTTTATTAGAAGTGGACATCTTTTATTCTTTTATTCCTATAAAAGTATATTATTTGGTACTGGTTTACCCTGTGTTGTTTACCCAACCAGGGATAAGGATATCTATACTGTATATATTACATTTGGGCATTACCACAGAACATATTTTTGTTTTTATAACTATAATGACATTTAAGATTATATCACATTTTTAATTTGCATCCATTTTATTAACTAGCTCCTGGATACTCTGCAATGTGTTATATAGTGCAACGCACAATCCTTATATTATATTTACGACTCACAAATACCTCACCCAAACAATAGAAATCTATGGGAGGACAGTCTTCAGTCCTCTTATCGTTCATAGTGGGGACTATTTAAAAAAAAAATTATGAAAAAAGCAAAAACAAAAGAAATTAACTCCCTTACATTGTGGTACCTTTACATTGCACTCTACTATGTAAAAAGCAATTATTTCAGTCACCAGGCGCAGAGTTACATGCACTAGAATTAAAATACAATAATGAAGTGGTAATTGCTATAAATATAAGGGACGGCTTCTGTCACCCATTGTCAGTCACTCTACAACACAAACCAAACAGTGAAAATGAAAACCAACGGGTGAGAGCACACACAATACATGGTATAGTATTGACAATGTAGTAATATAGTATTGTATTTTGTGTGTGCTCTCACCCATTGGTTTTTACATGCACTAGAATTGGTGTGTAACATTGGTGCTCAGCTCCTGTGCTATTATGTGTGTAAAAATGACATGTGGGCAAAGTTTAATTCCTCTATCTCAGATATATCAACAATATTTTCTTCATTTGGAAGCATGAGTTAGCCATACTCAAATCTTTTTTGGAGTTACTTACTAGTAATTATAGGGGCATTGTGTTAACGAGTCACATTAGTCATACCAATATCCAATTCTTGGACCTTGACATCTACATTGAACATCACAAATTACATACTAGAACATTCTTCAAACCAGTAGATGTCAACAGCTATATCAACACTATGAGTTGTCGTTATGACAAATGGTTATGTAATGTACGCAGTGGGCAATGCTTTTTTCTAAAAAATGTAGTGATATCTGTCAGTATGATGCTCAAACTGAGAATTAAAATGTTTTTTTCAAGAAAAGAGGTATGCCACTTCTTTTCTTGACCAACAAATTAAAGAAATAAGGCAAATTCCGAGAAATGTAATCTTAGAATACAAAACCAAAAATATAGATAGAACAAAAGATGAAGAACCCTTGCTAATATTAAATTATAAGGGGGAAGCAAATCAAATTAAATCTATTATAAATAAATATTGGCACATATTAAAAACAGACCCAGACTTAATGACCATCATTAAAGATAAACCAAAAATTGTATATATCGGGGAGCAAGAAATTTGGGCAACATGTTGGTAGAGAACCATATAAAACTACACATAACATGGATCATTTCCAAAAACAACAAGGGTTTTATCCATGCAAAATGTGCCTAGCATGTAAAAGAACACAATTTCTTAGAAACAAGCATGACAATTTTACATCTACATCTACTGAGAAAGTATACAATCAATTCGGTATTAACGTGTCATTCATCAAATATTGTGTATCTCCTTTTGTGCCCATGTGGTCTACAATATGTGGGCATAATCACAAGACCTTTCAAAACCTGTACACGTGAACACATGGGCAATATACAAAGGAAATATGCTAGCATAGTGTCTCCGCAAAATTTAAAGAACATCATGGTGGTGATGCCTCATGACTTTGTTTTATGGTTATTCAACAAAAGAAAAAAGACTGGAAGGGTGAAGATAATTTTAAAAAGCTTAGTAGTAAAGTGGAAGGGAGGTGGATTTTTGCGCTTGAAACTTTAGTACCTTAAGGTGTCAATATAGATTTCGAGCTCACATTTTTGAAAAACTTTTAACATATTTTTAAATATATATTATATATATATTGTGACAGAGTGTTGGGGATGGTGGTCAAGGGTGTATATCTGGCACCCAGACTGTTGTGCAGCCACTATCCTGACATGTGGTTAAGCACATGCAGCCCCAGGGAAAGTTAAGGTTAAATGTAGGTTTTTTTCTCTGTTGTTATTTGGGTCCCTGGGGTGGAGTATTCGGAAGAGCAGGGTGGGCCGATTCTCCACCTACTGTTAGGGTGGCTGTGCATGAGTCCAGCCCAGGTTTTCTAAGGAGTTCTGGCTCACTGCCTAACGAGGTCATTAGCCTCACCTGTAGGGGCTGTGAGCAGCTATATAACTGCAGTTAAAGCAGGGTGGAGTGAGTTAAGTGTTTTGAGGAGAAATAAAGTGTTTTGAGGAGAAAGAAGGTTTTGCTGCTTGGTGTATCCTGTTGTATCCTGTTGCATCCTGTTACTTCTTACCAACAGAAAATAAACAGGCCAGGGGCCTTTGAAACTAGACTTTGTCTTGGCCTGGCTTCCTTACCCTAGAGGGCTGTGCAGTTGCCAAAAGATCCTGGACAAACACACACAGGGAATAAAGTTTGTCTATATATATATATATATATATATATATATATATATATATATATATATATATATATATATATATATATATTTGTGCTCTGAATTTATCTAATATGTAATGGAATGTAGAAGGGGAAGCAAAGTTTGTTGAGATGTGCCGAAACCAACGTACGAGTAGGCCTGTAAAAAGAGTGCCCATAAAGGTGAGTGTTAATATAGATGGGTTTAGGTGGGTGGGAACAAATGGCTTGCAAGACAAAGGTAAGTAGGGGGGTAGGGTTCATATAGGATCATTACTCCTCCCACAAATTCAGGCCAAATGGCCTTCCAACTTGTGCTCGGAATTTATCTAATACGTAATGGAATGTAGAAGGGGAAGCAAAGTTGGTTGAGGTGTGCCGAAACCAATGTACAAGTAGGCCTGTAAAAAGAGGGCAAAAGAGGATTCAAAGAAACCACACTTTATTGCAAGTTAATACAGCATGAGTGACGAAAGCTTGTAAGGTGCTTCACTCTGATTGAGGTATGTAAGTACCTGAGCTGATGCTTCTTGATGACCCCATTGTTTGTGATGTAGACTGGGGTGTAAGTGTTTGAAGCTGCTGCTTCAAACACTTTCGTCACTTTGGAGACGTAACTGAGTGACAGCATAGAAGGTTTTAAGTAAGAAGCTTGGTTGTGAGTTTTAGAGAAAAAAGCAAAAAATTTACCATGATTATAACAGCAAGGTTCTCGCATTTAAGCCAGCTCCTGTATGTGTCATGGTGCATGTGACGAGAACAATCTCACCACATTGCATTGGAGAAGCCTGGTTGCTCGCCTGTTGCCTTTGGATTATGGCCCCATGTTAAAAGGCTTGATTTTCCCCTGCAAAGACAAGAAAGCCGGGTCATTTGGTGCTTGCCCTGTTTGAGCAGTGATACCCCAGATAGCTATGCCATGGAGCCCATTCGTATAATGAAAGACTATGGAAAGACTTTGGCTCCATGGCAATTGAACTGTATGTGTGTGCTCTGAGCGCCATTCAGTAATAATGTGCGCTCAGACCTAAGCTATCTGGGCATATGTTGCATGTTTGTATTTTATGTCATAAATGTAACCTTGTGTATTTTATTGTATTTTACTGTCTTTTTGCTGCCATGTGTTCAATGGAGTTTTGCCTCTGTCTTTGGAGATAATTGGATTACTTCTATGTGTTTATTGGTTGTGTTCCAAAACCCTGTGGGTGGTACTAATGTGTAAGAATGTGTACATAAGCACAATAAACCCACAGCTCTGTCTGTTCACTGCTTGACCCTCAACACGGAGCTTTGTCTCGTTCTTGGGGGGATTTATTGTATGCTGTTCCAGTTTGACTGCTAGGAGTGTAAACCTATTCGTATGGTTTTTCCTATTCGGCTGTTTACAGCATTCATATGGTTTCCTGTTCGGCGGATTGGTGTTCTGCAGTAGCTGTGCCTGCATCTCTGGAAAGGGGGACGATCGCCTAAACAGTTTTTACCCCTTATGTGCAAAACGGTCCGTTACAGTGCAATACTGTAAGCCCTGGCATATGTGAAGGGAAAGTCGTGACCCTGCGTGAAGCGTGCGTACCGGTGCGAGGTTCAATTGTATGCTGAGTCCCAGATTAGCTTGTGGAAAGGTGGTATCCTAGATGGAAAGTGGTGGGCTGTGGGGAGTGCCTGGAAGAAGGTATCAAATTGGGAGCATGACAGAGCATCAGCTGCTGTGTTGTGGACACCAGAAATGTGGAAGAATGAGGAAGAACTGAGAGGTAGATGCCAATTACGTCAGCCTGCAAATCAGCCTCATTATTGTTAGGGAGGAGGACCGACCTTTGTTAATGATGTCACAGGTTGCGGAGTTGTCGGAGAAGCATCTAACTGCCTTGCCGGTCCAAAGGTGACCCCACGTGTGGGCGGCCGCTACGATGGGGTAGATCTCGAATAAAGTAGATGTTTCTCTAAAGGCCTGTAAGGCATCCATCTCAGGGGGCCAGTCGCCCCTAAACCAGTGGTTGCCGCAGATGGTTGCGAACCTTGTGTCTGCCGCTGCGTCTGTGTGAATCGAAGGTGAGTGCTCTGAAAGTGGGGGAATGAACAAAGAGATCTCATTCCAATCGTCCAGAAAACTACTCGACATCGACAGCCGGATCGTCCAACACGATTGGGCATGAGTCGGGCACACCGTGGAGCAAGTTGAGAAGCCTGGAGACAAAACCTAACCTTGAGTATAAGTCCTGTTTGTTCGGACAAAGCACAGGTTGATTACGATATGGCTATAAATTAGCTTCTGCAGGAAACGGGCTCGATCCAGAACCTAAGGGAAAAGGAGATGCTAGTGGGCCTGAGGCGTGCCACTGGTGTGCCAAGTGTGAAAATGTAGAACATATGGGTAGGTGTGTACCAGAGATACTGTAAAGTAAGTATGAGTAAGCTGAGGGACCTGAACGTTGGTCCATAATAAGAGACAAGCCCCTGGGTACCCAGGGACATGAATTTATGAATGAAACGAAAGCAAGTGAGGCCTTAATGAGAACGTAATCGTAATGAGAAAGATAAAATACCTGATACTGAATGCCGGAGACTGGGTAGCCAGCTGGTTGTTGATAACATAGAGGAACTGCGTAAAATGGCGTAAGTCAAAGTAATATTATGTAGAAACGATAAACAGGAAATGATACGTTAATACGATAGTAGCTTGGTTGAGCAGGTTTATGAGAGTAGTTGGTGTCTAGGTTGCGTTTTTAAACCTGGTGTGTATAAACGTTTAGAACCCACTTTGGGAGGTGGGGGTGAGGTTTACGCAAGGCCGTGGAGGCTGAATGAGGCCTCAGGAGAAACGTAAAATTGGTAAACCTTTTTTACCTGATACCGTGAAACTGGAAATCACTTCTTGAAGATTTCCTTGAAAAAGAGTAGAAAAACCTAAAACAAATGTATTCTAAGAATGATGACCCGGAAATAGTATATTTAAGGAACAGATTAGTCATATGTATTGCTGGTCTGAAATGAGCCTAGGAAATGAGGGGGGGGGGGTGTTTGCTGAGTGACCCAGTGATATAAAAAGGAGTTAAAAGGCCAACTGTTCCTTTAAGAGAGTTACTCGTGTGTGGAAACCGCAGAGTGCTGGGAATTAGTTCATTCAATTAAATGTAACGGTGGGTCGGGAAATAATGCCACACAGCCTTTGATATATCAAATA